GATTTCTCTATTTGATTTTCTCAATGATCGCTGTTCAGTTTGTGCTGGTCCCAGAGGGCCCGCCTACAGTCCTCTTTGTACCTCATGGATTGACTCACTGTCACTTGTGAGCTGGGCAGTGCTGTTGTATAGGATTACCCTGTAACACCAATGAATGGGCTAAATCAATTGAATAGGACTGTGTGTACTCTGGAACCAACTTGAATTGCCTTGTGTTGTTGTAAACTGTTTTCAAGTCCTGAACTCATGCTGATTGAGTGTAGTGGGGGTGGTGGAGGGGTGAGATGCTTACTTGTTCATTTGGAAGCCATCCTCTCTTGACAGTGTCTTGATGGGGGAAGTTAGGCATCCTGTTAGCTGCTGTGCCTGGTATGTCCTCTAAGTTGCTACTTGGGATCCAGTCAGGAAAATTCAGAAAAAAAAAAGAACTTCATTAAAATATGCCATTGATAAGGAAACTATTCTATTGAATGGATGACAACTAATATTTTGCTAAACCGCATGTCCTGTATGTCCATTGGGTTTAGAAATCACGGTGGTCTATATCAATCAACAAGGAATAGCTAAGTTCTTCAATTAGGATCATAAGTACCGAGCCAAAAAAATATGAGACTATTTCACACTCCTATTATCTTGATGCTCCAGATATAGTCAGTTTTCATGCATCTAATGAAAGTGTGTGGTAAATGAAAACTGAGCTTGCCTGGTGTATAAGCCCAGATGCTACTCCCTGGTGAACCAACAGGGTAACCCAGATCACTGACAGGTACAACAACAAAGCTGACAAGTGTCTTGCGTTGCCCTCGACTACGCTCATTGCTGATTGGATTTGGATCTTGACCAATGGCTGCTGGAGGCGGGGCCTGAGGCTGTTCAGTTGCCATGGTGACCAGACTGGGCGTGGTGGTTGGTCAATGAAGCAAGGCTCCACGAGATTAGTGAGCTGCTCAAAATGAAATTGAAATTATAAAAAACTCGAAATTTATAAGAACCATACATGTAATGTATGCTATTAATGATAGACTGTGTTTCATAATTTGATAGGATTTTTTTAATTTTTGAGGCGTTGCGTAGTTGTGAGTACAACTATAGGAGAAGGTTTGCAGATACACCAAGTGAAGTGACTGTCTAATAATAATATTGAATAATTGATTCAACTTATATTGCACTCTCTCCACAAATACTGCATCAGACAGTGACTCTTTCCCTGTATCCTATCATCAACATTTGCTGAAATGTTCCAATATCTGATTGTGATAACGTGACCAATGTGAAATCACATGGCTTTTTGGAAGGAGTGTTACTTCTTACTGTGAGCAATGGGGGGATTAGGGGTGTAGATGTAACTTGTAACATGGTCACTTGCACATTGGTCTTCATTTAAACTTGACACAATATTATGCAAAGAGCAAAAACAAGTCTGAATTTGGTGGCATTAGTTTGTCTAAAAGTAATACACAAAGTATGTGTGTTTGGAAAACTGTGATAGAGTCAGTTTCTTTTAAGGCAAATACTCAATACATGTGTTTTTTTGGGCTTTGGGGCGTTGAAACTTTTCCAGTTTGGAATCAAGAAGAGTATAAAGAGTATACAACTGTAATAAATTTTTTCACCAAATATGAAAAGACCAATGAACTTATCTCAGGTCCAAGAAACAAACTCAAGTGTAGAGTAAACATGTCAGCAAACAAACAAGATAATGAACTGTACATGTCTGTTGCATCCAGCACTTGTCCCCCAAACTCCCCAAGCTCTATATATAAACCATGTCACGTTACTTGATGATGATTCTGTGTTTGCCAGTGCCATCTCTCTGGGATCCGCCCCCTCAAAAGCTTACCACTGTTCACACTCTTTGCATTTTCCAAATGAAAGCACTTTCCAAACCATTTCGTTATTATTATCAATAGTTTGTAAAGTCAGAACTTAATGACAACAAGAATTCAAAGTTACTTGAATTCCATTTTCTTTTTCTTACTCAACATTAAATGCAAGGTTTTATTAAAAAGATTAAAAATGGATTGACTGACCTGGGTGTCATCTTCATTGTTTATTGTGTACATGTACCATCACCTGAAAGAGACAATTATTGAAAACAAAAAGTAAGAGTCACTTCATGTACTTGTAAGTACTTTATATAAGTGTCCATGAAAAAAAATGAACTTTTAGGCCAAAAAAAAAGTCTCCGGTTTCTGGTATGCGCGCGCATCGCCGTAGCCATGCGTGTCAGCAAAATGAAAAAGGTTTTTTTTTCAAGGAAAGATGATGTCTCAAAACCGACAAACTCACTGGTTTGACTGGAATCCTGCTGCTGCACAATTTTAATGTGTTTTTAGATTGGGTTATGGTCGAGAATAAGCTTTATGTGGCCTCTCTGGACTCCCATATATTTGCACTAAGTTTAGTCGGGCACCATTTGCAGTCATCAGCCGACACTTGAAGCAAAAAAGTCAGGTTAAAAAAAAAAAAAAAAGCCACACCACTTTTTGGGCAAGCTCCATACCAGAAACCGGAGACTTTTTTGGGGGGCCTTAATAAAAGGCAAGGAAATCTGAATTTGGTGGCACTCGTCTGAAAGTAATTAACAAATAACTTGGGTTTGTAAAAAATTGCAAGATTCAGGATGATGTTCTCTTTATGCTCAATTTTAATAAGAAAGAAAGGAAAAACCTCAACATTGGTTTTTCTTAAATCATTTCTGGATTGATGCTGCAGAAAGAGTACGCAGTTGCCCAAGATTTTCTGACCAAATATGAAAAGACAAATATAAAAAGATCTCATCACAGCCAACAGCAAAGTAATCTGAGTGCCCAGCTGGTAAGTTGCATTTTTGTGTGTGTGTGGGGGGGGGGGGGGTTGAAAATGGAGTAAGAAATGCAACTTTTCTAGTTGGGAAAACATGTGCTCAGTATATTAAGGCTTAAAAAATAGATGAATTTTAAGAAGTGCAATGTACATACATGTAAGGGTGAGGCTGTGTAGTGATATAGTTAATGTTGTGACATTGGTTTGCATTCAGGCTGGGTGGCCTTTCAAAAGAAAGCAACAAAATGTATTAGTAGCGAGTCTGTAAATTGGCCCAAAATGTAGTTGCAGTGAGCCCGTAAATTGGCCAAAAAATTGCAAAACACATGCCCTGTTACTATGGCAATGGGCCTGGTACGGATTTTAAAAGACTTTAGTTATTTACTCCCAAGTCCAATCAAGTTGAAACAATCAAGTTTTGATCGTGGACACTCATATGAAAGATTGACATGAAACAACTCTTCAGACAGGTTGGCAATTTTACAACTGAAAGTTCTAGGTCAAAGGAATTCACACCTTCTATAGAAATCCAAACTTGTTCATTGGGACTTTTTACAAACAGAACAATAAATGAGAGATTAAATGAGTCCATTATGTCACAGAATGGAAGGAACAAGTATGCACAGGTACATGTATTACCACCTCATTTGATGAAACAAGTTTGGAATGACATGTACAATGCACATATGTATGGACACTGATGGTTGCAGGCCAGTAAATAGGCCCAAAATTGCCTTCGCCGGCCAAATAACGATTTGTACGCCCTCATTTTTTTGCTTTCATCATTTTGTGGCCCATGAAATTGAAGTTTTGTAAAAAAAAAAAAGAAGAAAGGTGGAAGCCGTGAACAGGACTGCCAGCTCATATTTCTGTGTAATTTGGATGAATTAAGCCCTAAAATTGCTCTATTTGCAATGCAGCATAGACATCAGTTTTCAGAATGGCGATGGGCTAGGACTATACTTTTAGGGGTGACAATCTTTGGATATAAATTTCTCACAAAAGTCATCAGATTACCACCACAAAATTGAAACACAAATTGAAATATGATGAAATAATAATTTGATGTGCCTTAAACACCTTGGAGAGATGTGAGTATTTTCCCCTGAATTTTGGAAGTGGGGGTATCTATCACTGGGGTCTATGGCAGTTTATTTAAGTAGTCTGCAACCTGATGGTGTACGTGTACATGTACACGTATGCAAGTCAAAAATTAACCTAACTCAGGTCCAAGATACAAACTCAAGTGTAGAGTAAACATGTCAGCAAACAAACAAGATAATGAACTGTACATGACTCAGATCTGGGCCCATTCACACTCATTGCATCAAAATGAAAAACTTCTAGCAATTTAAAAAAAAATGTCTTTAAATGACTTGACTCCTCAATTCCTCCAAGGAAAACTGAGGTCTCACCTTAAAATAAAAAGGAATCGAACCAGGGGTCAAAAGAAAAGAAAACAAGGTTGGTCAAAATGATAACTTCAAATAGACTCAAAATTCTTTATCAGTATTTATAGCACAAGATAAAAGAAATTTTAGTGTGTGAAATATGAAAGATTTGAGGAATAAATATTTTTATATCTTTTTTATTTGAAGGTTAAAAAACCCTGGTGGGATTAAATGTATGGTGAGGTGCATGCGATTGCAATTTAACAAAGTACATCATGTACATGTATACATAATGCATGAACCTGTCTAAGGTCCAAAACTCAAGTGTCAAGTAAATATGTACATATATAAACCGACACAGACTGTACGTGTGTGACGTACATGTATGCAGCAAAACAAAAATCCTAAGCTCTATATATAAACCATGTCACGCGACTTGATGACGATGCTGTGTTTGTCCAGCACCATCTTTACCAGATCCGCCCCATCAAAAGCCTCAACTGTTTGTGCTCTCTACGTCAAATTGGAAAGATTTGTATTCAAATGATTTGGTTGAAATTCAAAGAAGGTAAGAAAAGGGTGTCAGTTATTTTGAATGAGGTTAAATGCTAGCTCACCGGTACAAGTCATTTGACAGGAAATTCTCACACACAAAAATTGATGTCTTGTTCGAAAGTGGATCAAAATCAAATTTGGTATTTCGCCCAGATGAAACTCACACGGACAGTGCAGTATTAAAGAAGTTACATCTCTGTATTATAACCATTTCAATTTCTTTTTAAATACTCTTTGTATACAGATAAAATGGCTACAGCTCTAAAGAACATCAGCCCCCATCTTGAATGCGACATATGCGCAGACAAATATAAACAGCCCAAGGTGCTGGATTGCATGCATAGTTTCTGCCAGAAATGTCTGGAGAAATACTACACTAGCAGGTATGCAGGTCAGCCTAAGATTCCTTGCCCTGTATGTAGACGGGAGACGGTACTCCCACAGACACGCATTGAAGGCCTGAAAACAAATTTCCATTTGATGGGAATAGTTGAGGAGGTCTCACTCCAAGAAAAGGTGGCTTGTTCAGAGAACACAAAGGTCATCTGTGAGATTTGTGATGAGGGAAATGAGGCTTTGCATCGCTGTCTGGACTGTGCCCAGAATATCTGCCCAAACTGTCGCAAGACACACTTGCGATGTACTGCTACATCAAACCACACAGTGGCTACTTTGGAGGACATTCGTCAGGGGAAGGTAACAGTGAAAAAAACACCAGAAGAAGATGAGTCTAAATGCCACAAACACAAGGGGGAAGTGAAACGGTTTTACTGTGAGACATGTGAAGAGTTAATCTGCCGAGATTGTACGGTAGTACACCACCGTGAACCAAAACATCACTACATTGAGTCTGGAGAGGCTTCTCGCAAATACAAACAGTCACTGAAAGATTCATTTCCAGACTTCACCACAGGCATCAAAAACCTTGAACAAGCTTTAACCACTTCATCACAAGCTAAGCAGAGGTTCACACAGAACGTCACAAAGACTGTGAAAGCTGTGAAAGACAAAGCGGATAAAATGAGAGCTGAGATAACAACTCAAGAGACAAAGATGATTAAAGAAATCAAGCAACTCCAGCAGGATCGCAACAGAACATATGATGAGCATCAGTCAACACTGACAATGATGCTTGAAAGTAAACAACATTCGTTAGGGACATCCCAGGATATCATTAACACTGCATCTGACAATGACTTTTTGTCCCTATACCCTATCATCAGCAAAGACTTGAAATCACTCAAGAGTCAAAATCCTCCCCAGATTGATCCCAAGCTTTCATATCTGAGCTTCACCCCGGGTCAGAGGATTGGTGACATCAATCTGGGCAAGCTTGAGGTGGAAACAGGCAAGTGGGAGATGTGTCGTGAGTTTGGTAAAAGAGGAAGTGGTCCAGGAAAGTTCATTGGGGCTCGGGATATTACTGCTACTCAACCTGGTGAGATTGCTGTGGCAGACTATGGGAACAACCAAGTGGTCATCTGCAGCAATGAGGGACAACACAAGGGAACCATTCCCCTACGACGTAAGTTTCTTTCATGCACATGTTCATCAACACAAACTTTCATAATTGTGTGGAAATTATAAGTCTTCCATATGCACATGCAGATCTGGGAACTGATGAGAATGATTGATTGTTTTTTACATGAAAACCTACATTGAAAAAAGAAATCCCACACAAACACACTCAATTCTGTTCCGTAGTTGTGGGGACATACATGTCTCTAGCTCTACGCCGTATTTGTGGGGACAGAAAACGCTATTGGGACAGCAAAAAAGTCCCCACAACTTGGTCCTAATTAACCTAACAATGAGAAACCTCCAAATAATGCGGTGTGGGCCAGAGCACATACACACACACAAATATTATTAAAACAAAACTTATTTATTCATAACTGATTTCAGTTGGTATAATATGGAAGAAATGTTTTTATTTTGGGGGTCGTAACTTTTAGAAAAGAGCAAGTTTGCTTTTAGGTCGTTTTGCAAACAAACCAACCTGTCCTGTGCGGAGAATGTTCTAGGCCTGGGGCCAAATTCACGAAGGCTTCGCAAAGTTAACGAAGTTGCAAACACCTCGCTGATGTTAATTTGTATTCACAAAAGCTACGCTTCGCAAACACTTCGCAAATGTTAGCGTCTTCCGCCATATTTTCGCAAACACCACACAAATGTAAGCACGTTATTCACAAAGGCCTCGCAAACTTAACGATTCGCATTCTCTTTGCAAACGGTTCGCTAACGGGCGATTGTTTGCGACGAGTCCGAGGTCGTCGCTTACTCCTCGTAACTGACGATATGGCGCTGTTGCTCAAACTGGATGAAGAACTCCGTCACGAATTACGCAAAAATAGCGTCTTTCTGACCGTTAGAAAAATACAGTGATGATAAAATGACACCTAAAGTCTACAAAGTTCATTGACCTCTCCAATGGAATCAAACGTCAGATATGATGTCCCCACATCTGAAATTATTTTCATGGCACAAAGAGTTACCTTTTAGACTAGGGTCATGAGAAAGTGGCATAATTTACAAGAGTAAATATTATTAATATCTATAGATAGGGCTTAAAAAGGTTATGACCTCTCGTATTGGGTCACAAGAGGTTAAATTTGAATTGTCCTATGTATGGAAAATTGACTTCATAGCATGAACATCTACTATTTAGATTTGGATCGTGAAAACAAGTTGTGGTTTAAAGAGTGAATCTTACAAAAAGCTATAAATATGGTTTACAAAGGTCATTGACCTATAAAGAGTCACCAGAGTATGAATTGTTCCATCATCTGTTTATTATGTTCATTGCATTAATACATATATGACGCAGAATTGGGTCATAGGAAAGTGAAGTTTTGAAGAAAAGTTGTTATAAATAGAGTATTAAAGATTGTGGACCTTCTCATAGGTCACCAGAGGTCAAATATGAAATGCCTCCATATCTGAAGAAAAAGAAGGCATGAAGAACCAACATGCGTTTTTTCTGCAGCTCCACTATTGGACAAATCGAACCTTCCTTTGCGTTGCTGCCATCTTGCCCGTCTTTGGCAATGTAAGCATGCGTGTATACTTAATTATGGGTGATTTAGGGTCGAATGAATAGGCTGCTCAAAGTACGTAGTGATTACATAACACATAGTTTTGCGTGTTCGCTGATGTATGACCCAAGTTGAAAAATCTTAATAAGAACCACTGTTTAGACTTTGCGAAGGTTCGCCAACTTAGCAATTTCGCAATTTTAGCGAAAGCTTTGCTGAAACCTTCGTGAATACTACGCATCGCTAAGCTAGCGATTTTGCAAGTAGTTTGCTAAGCTAGCGATTTTGCAAGTAGTTCGCTAAGCTTTCGCTTCGCTATATATTTGCGAAGCCTTCGTGAATTTGGCCCCTGATCCCTATATTAGTGAGTGATGGGCCGATCCCCATCAAGACCACCCTTTGGTTTTGCGATCGTTCTTCTGTATGTAGTGTTCGTGTTTTGCTTTTTTTTCTGGACAATAAAGCTCCATGGCATATATTTTAAAAATCTGAAGGCATGATGATATCAGCAGGTATCAAATTACAAGAAATTCTAGTTAAAAAAGTGACCGTTTTGTCTCGTTTATAACTCCTGAACAAAGCAAAAAATCTTGTTCACATTTTGTGATCTGATGAACCATCTGTTGATGAACCATTTTTTTTGTCCTGTGTACACGTGAAGTTGCTTGACCTTCTGGGGTTGACGGTCAAATTAAAGTTAGGTGAATTCAAAATACTAAAAGCAGCATGAGTTAAAAAAAAAATGGATTTACTCCGTAACGGGTCAAGGTATGAAGAAAAAACTTTGTACAAACATGCACCGTTGTACAAAAACGTGACAAAAATAGTGACATCATACAATGACACCACCATATCAAACAACAAATGATCTAAAGGAACACTACATCCTGGAAAGCACCCAATTGGGCTACAAAGAGCATTTAAAAATAGGATATAAACGTCTACACAACCATCCTTGACAAATTGGCCGTTTGTGTTATTCTTGCAAGAACAAATTTTGGGGGTCAAAAATTTTGAAAGGCAGTCTTTACAAAATATGGGGGGGGGGGGGGTTAAAATTCCTTCTTACCCTCCCGCTGGTTACGCCTATGTGAAACACCCAGAACTATTTTTTTTGTAGTTTGGCTTGTTAGATTCTGAGATACGGGTCAACGAACTTTTGAGTACCATTAGCACGACCTCCGAACTTTCAATACTTATCTCAAAAACTACAGCACCTACAAAGCCAAGTTGAATGGCCTCTTGATATTTCATAAAATAAAACCAAAACTGTAGGCCTACATTGAAGCACAGAGAGAATACGTAACGAAATTACCTTTAACCTTGAATTACGAAGAACAATATGCTTCCAATTTCATATTTTTTTCAGTTTGAAAAAACTGAGTTGTTAAAATATCTTTTCAATTATTTGATGATTAAAAATGGGTCATATATCGTCGCTTTGCTCACGAAGTGACAAAAACCTCGAAAATCAATAATTATTCGATTTTGAGTTTTACTAGCTATTTTATTATAGTTGTCTCAAGGAACAATTTGACTAAGTTTCAAGGCAAAATATTGTTTACTTTCTTAATTATTGTAAACAAACGAATTAACAAAAAGCCTGAAATCGGTGATTTTATTTTCACGAAAGTGTAAAAAAGTGTAAAATGTTTTCATGAAGTGACAAAAAGTCACCTCGTGAGCAGGGCAAGAAATTATACAATGGTCTGCACGCGGCAGGATGGGAGCATACACGCGCGCGCGAACGATGTTGAAAAAGAACAGACGCGCGCGCACTCAACTGTTGTGACGCGCAAAAGTAACAAGTTTGTTGTGTCGAAAAAAGTACAAATAAGTAAAGCCTCCGCGATTCATGATCCCACGAAGTGACAAAAACTGTGTACAAAGTAGTTGGCAAAATATGGGACCCAAAGTATTGATGTTCTCAAGTGCAAAAAAGTTTTATTAATGAATTACTGCTTAATTACGACCTATTTTTAACAAACAACTATGAATTAACAAAGAGCAAATCATATCCTATCAGACAATGCAAAAATTTCCGAATTCTGTTACTGCAAAGTGGTCGAACATGTCTTTTGAAAAAATGAATAACTTCAAATGCGATTATCTCAGAATGAACTTTTGTCAAATTTTGAGGTTTTTGTCACTTCGTGAGCAAAGTGACGATATGTTGTTCAATGCTTCATTTGTAAATTGAGCAACCTTTTTATTGCCAACAAAAATAGCAATATCGTTAAATTTAAGACTAATCTATTTTTTATGTTTGAGCAATGAGAATAGCACAGAGAGTGCATCAACTTTATAAAAGACTTTGCAAAACTGTATCTCCAAGACGTTGCAGTTATTCACAATTATACATGTATGGTGGCTGAAGACTGCACAATGTTCATGTAGGCCTATTAATTCTACATGACCAGGCTTTAAGGCACGCCATGTATTCATTATTATAGGTCGGTTATCATAGGTATTATATTTCATGGGGACTCAGAATAGTGACAGTGCATTTATATACTGTGCATATGTTACATTTGAGTTCTTCTTTACCCACAGATCCACGGGCAGTTGCAGCCATCCACAATCCTGAGCAACGCTTGCTTGTGTTGGAAGATGGAAGCAAGTATGTCAAGGTGTTCAACATGAAGGACAACACAGTGCATCAATTACATTTTGTTACTAAACAAGGTCTTATATAAACAGTGTATTGACTAGCTACATTTGATTTGTTTGGGATAATTTGTTTTAATCTTACATGTACAATGACTAGAATCTGCATTAACTGGTGAAATTGAAAGGAGAGGGGAGTTTAGTGGGTGTTGAGGTGTTTGAATGTAATGACCCCCGCCTCCTCAACCCAACACCCCTCCCTCACCCAGTACATGGATTGCCATCAATCTATCCAATACTTACCAACTTTTTGTGGTGCTTATGAAACCCTGGCTTTGTTGTGGCTTCCGCTTCATCTCTGGCACTAGATTCCTAAGAATCCTACCACATTCAAACTCAGTGAAAATGCACCAACCATCCATTGGCCTTGTGTGACAGGATTTGGTGTCTCTGAAGAAGAAAATGAACCAATATTGTGCTGCAGTTACATCAGGAGACAAAAATCATTAAGCTTGAAGCCAAAGCCAGGGACAAAGCCAAGATTTCATAAACACAATTAAGATTCTTAAATTGTTCCTGATGGAAGTTGCTGTATTTATTCTGCTGTCTTTTACAACAAAGATTTGAGAAATGATATTCAACATTTTGCATTACTCAGTTCAAATACGTGCATATTAGTGTTCAAGATAAGCCTTTATTCTCTCAGTTAATTTTGTGTTACTTTTTTGCAGTTTCATGTACAGATTTAATTAATAAAACGCTGCTTTTCAAGTCAATTGACTTGTCCGAATACATCCTAAAGATGAGCGACAAAGCTCATTCTATTAATGTGGTTTCAGATCTTCATTCACAGAATGGAGAATTGTGTTGACAGTGTTCATGAAGTTTATTTCTTGATCTCATCAGAGGCTATAAATAGTACAAGCCAAAGCTGGAGACATAGCCAAGATTTCGTAAACTCCCTGGAATTCTGAAATGTGTTCCTAATGAAATCTACATGTACGTGTAGTCCATTATATATTGTACTTTTGATAATAGAAATTTTGAGACAGTTTTACAACCACTTCATCCTTGAGATGTAACCATACTACAAGTACTTTGTGAAATAGTATTGTTTAAATTCATTTTTAGCATACGCATCACCATGATAGTTAGTACTCAGATTACTGTTCAATAAGCCTTTATTTACTGAGTTTTTATATTACTTTTTGCAGTTTCCGTTTACACATCTGAATTAAAGATGCACTTGCATGTATATTGAAGATAATTTATTCATTGAAATGTTTGCTAAAGATGAGTGAAAATTAATTTGGTTTCCTGTCTTAATTCACAGAATTAAGACTCATGTTTATAAGAATGTTTTGATCTTGATTTGAAATTTTGTTTACATTTTTTTCTCAGACTGTCAAATATCCCTTCAGTTTGAATGATTAGAAATCAATTCGACTGAAGCTGAATTTCAGAAAGCTATACAGCCTCAGTTGCCTTGATTTTGGCCTGACTGCCACCTTGAAAGGTCCCCACACAAATAGCAAATGCCTAATCCAAGTTTCTTCCTTACAAACCAAATAGATTCCTCGTCTTTTCAAGAATTTAATTGCACACCTCTGTTTTCATTGTTTTGCATTTTGGTTGCCATTTCAGAAAACTTGAAAATGAAATAAAAAAATCATCACTTCAGTTTGGGTTTCAGCAAAAATTATTAATTTGTATGCAAAGTATCAATATTATTGTACAAATTAAATGTTCAAGTAGACTTTTAAGTGTTTAACAATTCACCACTGTATGTAGATCTTAGTAGTCACAACAAGACTTTGTAAACTCCCTTTATGTATATTCTTCAATTTGTTCCTAATAGAACATACATCTACTCATTGTATTCTGTGCTATCTCTACATTACATATTCTGATTATAGAAATTACAGCCTGTACAATATCAATTATTCTGTATTTCCGTTAACTTCACTTTTTAAAGTCATGTAGGATCATTTGCAATTACCCAGATAAGCACCTACCGATTTAATGACAGAAACCTCAGAGTGAAGATAGGACTGGTAACAAATACCCTGTGAAATAATTCCACCTGAAATGGTTTTGTCAGAAAACAAACATTGAAGGTGGTTTCAAAATGGGGTGCCTACAGAATCTAGTTACGAGATCCAAAGACTTGTGCATTATGTTTTCTCTGTTTTCTGCAAAATGTATAGTAGCCACTCAGCTAAGACTTGAACAGAATGCTTGTTATGCACCGTACTTAAAAAATTGAGCTCTTTTGTTGCTTCGGAGAAAAAGCTGCAAAAAGCAAATGATCCAATGCACAATGTACCTTTAAGCATACACATCACTATGAAAGTTAATCAAGATTGCTTAAAAAATTAGTCTTTTAACATTCACTCAGTTTCTTTAAAAAAAAGGTTTTTGAACCTGTTTTCATATTTTGTAGTTTTTCATAGAAATCACGTTTATTTGTTATTGTTTACAAGCTTTGTACATTTGCATTTATATCAATAAAACACTAATGTGGATGATCATTTAATCATCAAAATGTCTGCTAAAGATGAGCACAAATACTTATCCTATTAATTTGGTTTCCTGTCTGAATTCACAGAATAAAGACTTGTGTAAACTTTACTCACAAGGGATTATGTTGATGGATTTTTTTGGTATTTTTCTTTGAAGGTTAAAACTTCTTCAAGTGTGAAAGGTTGCCAATCATTTTAACAAATGTTCAAATCAATGGTATTGAATGTCAGGAAGCTATGGCCTCCGTTGCCTTGCTTTTTGCCTGACTGCCTCCTTGAAATTTCCTTGCATTTTCAAGAATTGAATTCCAGACCTCTGTTTTCATTGTTTCACCTTTTTGGTTGCCATTTCAACTTGACATAATGAAATCAATTATCCCCGTCACTGCAGTTTTGAGTTTCAACAAAGAATTGTTCATTTTCATGAAACTTTCAGAAATTTACTGTAATAAATTCTATTCAAATTTACTTGTAAAATCTGAGGTTTTGAAATGAGCAGAAATAAATGCATTCATCCTTGTTAGTCACTGGGATAAGGCCATTTATTAGCACAATTTTGTGACTAATTCTTTTAAATATTATTTTGTTGAACTAAACCTTAGGACATCCGAAACTCTGACTTGCACAGCTGGTATTTGTGCCTTCCAGCTCAAACAACTGTAATTTCTGATGCTAAATTTGTGGAAAACAAATATTTTGGGGCCACTGCTCTTACAAGAATGGCTTCATCGTGACCTGTTTTCTCTTTTTACCATCTTGATAGGATGATAAACAAGGACAAACATGGTTGGTGCCAATTGTATCCGCATTCGTGGTTTCTGAAGGCATATTGCTTTAAGGACACCCACGAAACTCTGTGACTTTACCCAATTTGGTGAAACTTGTAACAAGTTCAAAACACATACACATGTAGTTATTCTTTATTCTAAACATGCCAGCTAGCTTGGTGATCAAAGTGGATTTTCATCAGTCTTGCGGAAAAGGGTACAGAAGTAGGCTTGCGACTATGGTTTCTCTCTAGTAAAGTGAAGCCCTTTTCCCACTAGACAAATCTCAGGGTTGACGTAGGGTTGAAAACATGTATCGTTTCACACTTAAAGAATTTCAACCATGCGTCAACCCCGAAATTGATTTCGCCCCGGTTTGAACTCAACCCTGCTCCATACCAGGGTTGAGATTTACGAACCGGGTTGAAATTCTGGCCAGGCCGGGTTCAAATAGTAGTAACTGAGAATGATAAGCTTGATTTGCATGGAACAAGTGTAAAACGATGCGGGGTTGAACGTGGGGTTGAAATAAAAAAAACTCACCCCAGGGCGGCACTGGGTTTGCCCAGGGTTGATTTCAACCCAGGTTGAGAGGCTCTAGTGTGAAAAGGGCTTAAGATTTGGTTTTAGGAATGGGGCAACTTACCACAAAGTGACTGCTTGTAGTGACGGCCATCCCACACGGTTGCATCCTTTCCACACGACCGCCATACAGGACTGCTTTGGCTGATTCCCAATTTTCAGGGGTCTGAATAACATCAGTCAAAGTCTGTTGGTTAAAAAGATCAGAGTCTAAATATTTCTATGAGTGTTCCAACACAGCATGACGTCATTTGAGTATTTTTCAATGAAATAAATGATTTGGATTACCCATGAAAAAAAAAACCCACAAATGAAAACAAGGCTGGAAAGGACGTCCGCGCACAAAGTGTAAATAGAGAGGCCAAAGCATGTGTGCACCGCTGCGATATAGCGGGTTGTTCCACTCAGATATAGGGGTGTTTCTACTGCGCCAAATACACAATGTATGTGCTAGTCTATAATAGACCATGGCAATCTAAACCATGCTCTATAATTTTTTAACAGATTCGCTGATTAGTTATGCAAGACAACCGCATCTTGACCTCTAGATTTTTACCAATCAGTGGGTGCTTTCTATATATCGGGTCTTCGGTCATTCACCCGTTGTCGCGTCTAGACATGGATAAAATAAACTCAGCTATAGACACAGCAACAGGCCTGGTCACGCGCTCCGTATTGGGGAATGTTACGCGACATGCATTCTAATTGACTGTTTCATGCGTTAGACTGTGAGTGCCTTCTGCGTGAACGTGTAACGCATGAAACAGTCGTCTTGCTTTCCACGACAATGCACCAGACGAAAATTTAACCAGCTGTACCTGGAAGCGGTACGGTACCCACATACATGGTGCACACAGATTTTTGAAAAGAATGTTGCAACCTGACGCTACTTCTTTCTCTATACATGTATATCAATTCAATGAAGGTCATTCGTTACAAAAAATGATGATAACTTTTTAAAGACACGAATCTGGGACTGAGAAAGATTTCCAATTTTGTTAGGAAATACCATGGAGAAGTGTCCATAGACATTGTACACAAGCGTGGAATTGGAAGTGGCTTCAGCCTCACCCCCAGGTTGCAACATTTTTTCCAGATTTTTCAATTGTCATCACGAGATAAATTACAATTTATTTGCATAATTAACTACACACAGTCAGTCTATGGGGAGTTCAGTTTCTCAGTCCAGATTCATGTTTTTCAACCTTTAACTGACCT